AAGGACGCAGTTTCGTCAAGCGAAACAAGCCGGGCTTTATTGCTAACAAGAAAAGTTTATCACGTAAAAGATCAGGACATTAGCATCGCGCTTGCAACTTTTCCAGAGTTCTTTCCTCAAGGACTGGTCATAGACCAGGATATGTTAGCTCAGTCAGAGAACCAAACATTAATAGACAAAAGACTCTCTGTTAGGAAACAAAATTTGCAACGTGAATGCGGAGGACTGGTGCTGTGGTACATCCGGGAATACGGGCTTTAAACTGGTTAGTTCATGAAGAGGGGAAAATGTTATTTGCAGCTACAAAGCTTTAACTGACACTATGGGTTTTGAAACAATGTCAGCTAAGAATAACTCGCGAGTGTTCTCAATTTAATCACGAATAAACGCTAAAAAGTTGATCAGCCATGTTGATCGTAAACTCAAATTTGCCAAGAAGAGCTACAATGTTTTACACAGCTAATTGAATATAACACGAACGCCTTTCCAGTTAACGCATTTTATTCTTTTGCTCAGCGCTTTTTTCACTGCCTTTTACACGCGTTAAAAACCGCTGACTCTATCTCTGTTCCACCAGCACACACCCGCAGCATGAATACAAACATTCATTAAACGACAATACAATCGTCAGGAAGCATGTTCGTAGCTCTCGTCTCAGCTTTTTGAGTCCTCTCCCAGACAACAGCCGCTTATTATAAAGTTTTTTTCATAGCCCCATGTGAATTCAACTTGCACTCTTTTAACTCCTTCTCTGTAATCCAACTAGCCTTAGCATCAGGCCTTCCTTAAGGAAAGGGAGCGAGGGAATTCAGGCTACAGTCCCATTAAACTCGGACACCGTACCTTTTTCGATGGTACGCGGTTTCGAACAAACGCTGGATCCACAAGTCAAGATCCACAAGGTTAAAATAAAAGCCCAGAAGCGTTTATTCTGATTCTTTTCGATCGAGAGGGTGTAGTAATTTTACTGAGCAACCACATTATTCAAGTTCCACTGATTTCGTTCGCTGCCGACGGCAATAGACAAATCTGAATGACGATTAAGAACAGTTGCGTACTCTACACCCAAACCAAATTCTTCGTGACTTGTTTATTTACTCAAGACGATGTCGATGAGACATTGTCTACGTGATACTCTACTCTTGTTGATGTTTATGTGAAATTTCAGGTTTAACGGCCCTCTATGAGACTTGCCTGCAGGGAATCATGGTAGTTGTATTCATCATCTTAGACTGGATATTTTGTTTTGATGAACAAAGCTAGCATCATTCCTTGTAGGCGCGTCTCACAGAGAAAATTGGCCATTCAGTGAGCTTTACATTTCTAGTCTCTGTTCTGGAAGGAGTACATCTTTCACGTTACGTGCATGACTGCACAAGTGTAACACAGCTGCAAAGTTGTGCTACGACTACAAATTTCAACGAATATTTCGTAAGTTAGCCAAACGAAACACGAAGAACTCTAACGAGTTGTTCCGAATATGGTCGAAATTCATCGGAAGCCTTCCGAAGATGATTTATGAATACGATAAGAAGACTCCCGAAAATTACTTAAGTTTATCCGGAGGCTTCTGAAGGCTTCGTTACGAGTGCCTGTCTATTCCGAACTATTCTCGAAATCAAATACATTAACGCTAGCGTTAACGCGTTCGATCATGATGAAGAAAATATACTAGCTACAACGAAAACCGGGTCAAATATTCACTCTAGGATTGCAATCTGACTTAGAGAGGAAGAACTGGATTTTTGGATTATTTCAATAAATAATTTCGATTTTGCCTTCACCACACAACCGAACACACTCAAAGGTTGAGGCATGGGCGCGTTGGTCAGCCAGGCCCAAGATATGTTTTATTTGCGACAATAAGCTTACAACAAAGTGGATGAGAGATACATCAAGTAACGTCCTACATGCGCCAAAGCCGGACACGGAAACCCCAAAAACCTCTTGTTAGGAAAAATAGGGATCGTGTACCCCCGACCAAATGCAGTGGCGCCACCTTTGGGGTTTTAAGGTTGACCTACAGACAACAGAATGAAAAAACAAATCATATGACGCTAATTACACAATAAAAATAAACCTTATGGGAAAGTGCTAGTGGCAAGGCTGACCGTAGAATGTCACAAGTTTCTCAACCGTCTCTTTTTACAAACGTACTACCAATGAGCCTTCGCGTACTACTCTCCCACCCAGTTCTCTGTTCCGTGTCGGCAAAATATTAATTTATGTCAATACCGATTATCACAAATTACATTGTTGGTTATCGATGGTTACACCTGTGGGTTGCTAAGAACCTTGTGGGTAGTAACTAGGTCAACTGGAGAATGGTACGGATGTTCGGAGCCCTCAGCCTTGTTTATTAGGCATAAGTACTGAGAGCTGATACAAGGTTTTAAAGTTTACCAATGGAACGCCTGCCAAGATCTTAAACTCTTGGGGAAAACGTTTGCTCTGGAGTACCCATACGTTTCCCCAACTGATGATGAGATCCGAAGTACTGTGCCCGAAGGTGTCTGTCTCGCGATTGGCGATCCTGTAAGTCCACGTTAGCGTTTGAAAAAAATTTGAATCCCTCAGAGAGCAAATGAGACGGTTGACTAGCCGTTTCAAATTAATCGAAATAATAACGACATTGTAATATGTAACGCTGGTATACAAGGCTGGTTGTACACTTTAAGCATTCATTATTGCGTCTTGTTCTTACCTTTGGTTGGATATGTGATGTCACCCACAAGTATTCCTCGAGTTTTAAGACGGATTCCGTTTTCATTGCGACAAACTGCACTCTTCTTTTTCTCATCCCACTTCTCCAGGTCTCGCAGATTGCTGTACTCTGAAGACAGCATACTGTGTCAGTTACCTGAAAAGAGGACAGACAAATTCAATTATACCTCAGTTTTCATCTGAAGTGTGCAAACCAGTAACAGCACTACAGCTGGTCAATAATGAAGTGGGAGTTATAAAATACAATACAATACTTAAGTTAGAGGCGTCACGTCTAAGAGCTGTACAAGCTTCGGCGTTCAAAATACGAACGTGTATTCCTAAAATACGAAGATATACGTGAATTTATCATACGTTCGGAAAAGATAAGATTAAATATCATTATTTAATAAATCAAAGGAGTTTTGGCTTTGATTCACTCAATAGTGATGAGGTTCTTCAAAAAAACCTTTCAAATGGCGAACTCTTCACTTCACGGACATTCCCAGCCAAAATTTGGGTACCCTGTGATCAGGCGAAGTTTTGCGCTTGCTTTAATCGTAGAAAAATTAGCCTTTTAAGAATTGCAGCGACGCGGTGTCCTGATGGAAAAGATTGGACGATCCAGTTTGACCTCTGAGTGCGGTCAATATGTTTTGTTCTTTGGCAAGACACTAAACTCTCACAGGGCCTCTGTATTCATCCTCAGTACTAATATGGTATCCAGGTTGCAGGGGGAGGGTAAAAATAATGCCGACCTAGTCGCGTTATGCTATAGAAACCAGATATAAGTGCAGGCTTGATGGACCGCTACGCTTGAACGCAGACTTCGAGACATCACCTCCCTGTCTGAGTGAGAGAAAACGTTTATAGGCTCTTACAAATTTGATGATGTCGTCAAATAACAGTGCCGCAGTCCCTATCGACTCTCGTTCTGGTTTATCAGCCTCCAAGTTGCATTACTTAGAATAAGACTTCTTTTCCGATATACTCTGAAAATTATTTTTACATAGCACGCAGTCTCAAAGTCAGAAACACCTCTTGGCGCCACAACTTAGGTGAAGAGAGGGTATGCCCGATAGACAAAACCGTCTTGGCTGAAGATCGAGTGAAACGTCTTCCAGAAAATACAGTATATGGTCCATTATTTTTATAAGATAATCATTTCACTAGCCTGAAAAATCCCAAAAAAAAAAAAAATTCGGCGAGCGAAGCAAGCCGACGAGCGCGAAACCACAGAATTCGGGGGGCGAAGCGATCGGGGCGCTCAACGGGAGTCTCTGTAGGCTAAGCGGAGAGAGACTGGGCCGACTATTCCAAGATAATTCACTAAGGCATACATCAAGTGTTTTTGAAAGTCCCATCGGATACATTTTGAAGTCACGAGAAAAATATGTCGGGGAAAACAGCTGGTAGGGCTCTGAAGGCAGCCATATCTGGGGGAATTTTAGGCTCTCCTTCTCTTGTTTATGAACCGGGAAGTCCAAAACATGCAGCGCTTTTTTACGATCTCGAAGAATTTGAAGCAGGACTGGACAGAGCAAAGGATGCTTTTGGAAAAGGTAACGATGAAATTTATTTAGCTCTTATTAACCGAGTTGGAGGTCTGTATGGGAGAATCTTGACCGAGGTCG